TGTGACCCTGCCCTGCTGTGCAGGGAGAGGAGCCGGGCTGTGTGCAGCAGCAGCCAGCGCTGCCCTACAGCCACCACCCCCAGGGATCCTGCCCCTGCCCTGCCTGTCAGTTTGTATTTTCACCTTCCTTCTCTCAACCTGCTCAGTTTTCTGCTCAATGCCAGAAGAAGAAAAGGTGTCTCATCGTCATGCTCAAGAACTGAAGAGCAGCCCTTGGTGTTTTCCCTCCATCAAGGGCTGAAATTTTTCTGGGAGAGCAAGAACCATATGGCAAGAGGCAGCCTGCCAAAGCTCACAGGATGCAAGAGATTTAGCAAAGAGGTAGCAAGCATGTTCCCGTTTAGTTAATTGATCTTAAAAATATTCACCCTTTAAAGATGATGATTTGCTTTACAAGGTCCCCATGGCTAAGAAAAAAAAAGGCAGATAAAGATATCCTGGGGTGTAGTTTCATCATTTCACAGCCACAATATTCTTCCCCAAAACACTCTTCACTGATGGTCATTTTTCCAGTCAACAGAAAAAGCTGCAATTTCAGTACAGACAAGCCCAGCTTGCTGCTGAGGGTGTTCTCCCCTCCTCTGCGATTTGCAGATCCACCAACAGGCAGTACAACTGCCCTCGCTCACTCACCACGGGCTTTGAGAGCTCTGCACTGTCGGTGAGTGAGGCTCCCCAGGATACAGGGCTGGCAGGAGAGACAGACTGCCAGGCTACGGGACTGCAGAACTCAACTTACTTCTTCCAGAAACCTTTATTCTGCGCAGCTTTTGAGCCAAATAGTAATGAGTCCAAAGGTGACAGTTACAATCCCTACCCCACAAGTCCTCACACGCACATCATTTCTTCCGACGTCTTGAACGGAAAAAGCTGATGTGGGTATTAACTCTCTGTCTTGCTGCTCTGTGTCCTGTTCCAGTGGTCAAAGCTTCTCTGGAGCATGGAAAGGGAGATCTTTAGCTGTGAAGATACAACATCATACCCCCTCAGTTACTTAAGTTAGTCTCCTGCCTGGGTGAGTGATATCAGGAAAATAATGTCTCCCTCCTCCTTTTCTTTTAAGGATTTCATGCAATTTCCTCCTCCCTGTTTCTATAAACAGTTGCCTCACTGTGCTCTCCTAACAGCTATACACTGTAGTTTATAATTACTAACAGTCCAGTAGAAAGTCTTAACACCTCGCCAGACAGTACTGTGAAAGAGAAGCCACCCCGCTCATTTTTAGTCACAGTTAATGTTCATAGCAAATACACTAAGGAACATGACAGCAAAGCATGAATTTTCTTTTAATACCTGGCCTTCCCAGTGCATTCTGGTGCACAAAATGTATTTAGATTATTGACAACCCTCAGAAAACACAAGTAACAAGCACCAAGATGTGTCATGACTTCCAGACAAAAATGTTATTTGGAATTAAAAAGGTGGTTGAATTGTCTCTCACTTGTTTTTTTTTAAACACTCTTTGTTCAGAAGGCAGTTTAACACTTCAGAATTAAGATTTTTTTTTTTTTTTTTTTTTTTTTGTAATATGCAGAGAAACTGAAAAGGGCATGGAAACCAGGAAATTCATTTCTACAGTGACATTTCCAGCACTCAGCAGCTTTTTCCAGCTGTGAGCAAAATGGTTAATAGATTAATAGCAATTTTGTGTGCAGAGACACCTCTGAACAAGGAATATCAAAAATTTTCTACCCTCCTTTAGTGCGTGGGAGAACACAGAACAAACTAGTGATAGATAGAGGTACATGTGAACTCCCCCACAGCTTTCCTAATCTAATAATTTCTTCTGTCACATTTTAAGAGTTAATAAAAGAACTTAAAATCAGAACATTTATAAGTTATAAGTAAAAGAAGTATTAATTTACTGTCTGACACTTGCTGAGTTGACATTTCAGCCAAGGGGTTTACCAGTCCTGGACTTCAGGATCAGAGAGACAACAGCATTCAACCACCTCATTTTTTATATAGTGTTTGTAGTATGTAAGAGCCTGGAAGTGTAAGTTACTGGGAAGAAGGAAGATTAACTCCATAGCTATGGAGCTGCTCAGAAACATAAGATCTGTAGAATTTATATATTTTTCACTGGAGATTAGGTGGCCCATTGATACAAAGGCTAAGTGAAGCTCCTGCCAGTATCTAGAAGAGTAGTGGGAAGCACAAGCCAGGATGAAACTGAATTAAGAAACCCCGTATCATTATAAGCAAATACTTAGAAATATGTTTAAAGCCTTCTTAGAAAAGAGGATCTGTTTTGAATTACTCCAGTGTTTGCTTTGTCATGATTCAGAACTGCATCAACACATCTCATCAATAAAGGTACTTGACAGGCTTAAGAAAACTGACATATTTAATCTTAGTCCAAAGGAAAAAACAAAACAAAACCATACAACACAACATCAAAAACGTGAGCACTGCTGTCATATAAAATTCAAGCCTAGGACAAAACAAGTAAAGGAGTCATGAAAACTTTAGTTAGCACCAGAAGAAATCAAACAAAAGCTATGACGGCAGAAGGGAAAAAATTTTGAGTTGAGAAACAAAGAGTATCACCAGTATCAAGATTGGCAGACCTACCTGCTCAAGCATTTCAATTGAGTCTCTTAAAACTCCCTTCACATGTTTAACCTGTTCTTTATCATATTGAGGAGTCTCCTCTTTTGATACCATTTCTGGGGATATGCTGAAAGAGATCGAGATTACATCAGAAACGTGAAGCAAGCACCTCCATGCCTTTCTAAAAGCAACCATGCTCTGTCACCATTGCTGAAAGCATCCTTTTCCAAAAGCCAGATAAAAAGCTGCCTACAGTTGAATTTCAATCTCTTTTGCCTTGAATATACTGCCTCAGATAGATCTTTGTAGACAACAGCCACCAAAAACAAATGTGCTTGCATTGTGTCTACAATGTGACTTCTCACACTTCAGAGGGCAAGATCTTTCTTATGAAGATATTCTCACTGGTTCTGAGATGATCACTATGGGAGTTCACCACACTGCTTCCACACTCAAGATCAGGTTATTTTTAACTTGTTTGCCAATACCACACTCAAGAGAGGAAGCAACATCTGGGCCTCTTCCATGTGTGTGAATACAAAAGGCACCTAACATGGAAGTTTGACAGGGAGAGGCAATTTAGCAGGAGCCTCACAGAAAGAGGCTAAAAAGCAAAATGAATCTTTAACATTACATTTGAGATCACGCTGGTTCACACAGGATGAAGTGAACACTCTGGTTCTGTGATCAGCACTATGATATTCACAGAAGATGAGTCACAGCAGGCTGATAAATGCAAGCTAAGGTTAACACTCCCCCAAAAAACAGCTTGTCAGAGGAGAAACTTATTACTGCAAGATGCAGCCAAACATGTCACTGAGTATCAGCACAGACCACAGAAATGCAGTAAGCCCCAGCAGCTTTTGAAAACTTACCACCAAGTTTTTCAAAATTTATTTATTTAGATCAGATTCTGACATAAGCTGAGGAAGACAGAAAGCAGAGATTGTGAATCCAACTTACTTCAAAGAGCTTTCTTCCTGAAGCTGGACATGATAGAGGGACTGGGCTGCATGCTCTATCTTTGACAGTTTTAGAAACAGTGTTATATTCAGCAAGACCAAGAGCAGCAAACTGTAGAGAAAAAGAGAACAAAAATCAAGTCCTGTAACAATTATGGCTGCAATGCTACAGAAACAAGGCCTGGGATTAAAAACAGCTAAGAAAAGAGAATCCTTGTGGGAGAAAAAAGGTGTGGGGCAGTGCTATACCAAAAATAAAGATCTATCCAAGCAATTCTTAACAGTTAGTGTAAAGCTGTGTAACAGCAACCTATAGGAATGACATCAGTGTCTCCTCTTTGAACTTTTAGAACTATGAATGAATCAATTCTAAACTTTTTTTTTTATAGGATCAGACCTAAGCAACCTGCAAAGTAGACTAATTTTGGAAGGCAGCATTTTCATTCCATGTGTCACTTCTTAAGTCAATCCATTCCCCTCCTATACCCAAGTGCTCCACTCAAATTACATTAAGATCTATCACGCTACATGCAACGTTAACATGCAAGTGAAGTACAGACAAATACAGATAAACACCAAGATGAGCTTGAGCCAAGCCACATTTTAATGCAAGTGAGTACTTACAAGACACTCATTACTACAATGATGGTGGTGGTCCTACTTACAGCATCTCTTTTTCTTCCTACAGGGCATAGAAGAGAAGGAGGTTAAAAAGTACTGAAGAACATTCCTATAAGATGCCTGTAGATACATGTCTGTGCCCAGCATTTCACACAGAATAGCTCAACAGCTTCTGATGGAAAAAAATAACAGATCATGTAGGCGCACAAGATGATCTCCATTTACCAAAGCATTTTTGCATTCATCTCAGACAAGTCAGCTGGACAGTCAGGCTCTTCCACCAGGAGCAGGATTCCCCTTACCCCAACATGCTGGGGAGAACATAGTGCTGGGGCACGTTCACATTAACCCTAGCTAACACTTATTCAGCACAAACACTGCTTGTCACACATGAGCAGAGACAGGTTGTGAAGTGGCTCTCTTCTACCAATTCTAGTGTTCTCCTGCCCACATTAGTTTTTCTGTCAACCAGTGTCAAATCAAGTTCTCCTGTAACCTGTCCCATCCTTTACTGGCTTGGTTTATATATCAGCCTGAAGACAACCTTTCAAAAGACCATCTGCTAGTCATCAGGCAACAGGGATCAGACATTAGAGAGGGAGAGGAAGCATGCATGTCCTCTCCAAACTGAGCAGCCATCACCTGCCACTGTGGGCAGGCTGATCTTTAAGTATCATTACTTGTTCTCCTAAAACAGTTCCTTACATTCACATTTCCTGCCCTGGACAAAGGGCATACACAAGAGCTGTAGTGTATACTGAGACACACGTACTCACCTGAAAAGGTGGAGCAGCAGTAGCAAAATTAAGTGATCAGGAAGTAATTTCAGTAAGGTAAAGAGTCCATTATACATGCTGTTGATCCAAATGTTCTCCCAGTGCTATACTCGGTGTTCTCTCCCCCTTTTCAGAAAGAGCACTTGCTGCTTGTTCAGTGTTTACAATTCAACTTGTGGAATGAAATCCACCATTCTATGGTACAAATTAGTGCACGAATGTTCCTCATCTCTGTAGGTATAGCTAATATTGTATATGCTAGTGGCCAAGTCTGTCATGCCCAGGGGCAGTAGAACTGCAAAAAATGCTTCAGTGACCCAGAAATTACAGAAGTAGACAAGAAATAGACTCCTTAACAAAAAAACCCACCCTAAACCAAGATAACAGGGCCAAGAGGCAAGTAGCAAAGTTTAATCAACTCACAACTTGCATATGCAGTTATTTGAAAAAAAAAAAAAAAAAAAAAAGGGCAAAAAAAAGCACCATTTTTCAGCAACTTTACAAGAGTCAGGTTAAATTTTTCTCTGATCCCATCTCATTTTCAATCTTATGTAGGTACAGTGTAGCATTTTAGGTTTTGGTTGGGTTTTGTTTGTTTTAAAAACAGAAGGTGAGACTAGGTTTGATTTAATGAGATACTCATCATAAAAGTGACAATGCATGCTCCAAATCTATTTTATGCAAGCTTGAACACACGAAAGCATTTGCCATCACACCAATTAGATAAAGACAACTAGAGTAATATACACACAAATGTTACTCATGCACTATTTTAAGAGTTAGGCTTTCCTGAACACACCTTTTGGAAAACATTTGATATAAAAATTCCTACCTATTATGCTGCCCTGGGACTCTGCTCCCATGTCACCAGAGGGGTGTGGTGAAGAGCGTTTGGGAAGTGATTCTGCCAGACCCCGGTGTAAAGTGCGTCGTCTTCGTCTCAGGGCAACTAATTTTCCAGAGTCTTCTATGGACTGATTAATTGCATATTCCTCCATTAGAAGGTCTGATTCTGCAGTGGAAAAAATAAAGTTACCAGACTTTCAAAAGGAAAGCTGAAAAGCCGAGCACTGAAGACTTAAATTGTGAGATGAGGAGGGTGGCAGCGAGAGGAATAAGTGCACCTCCTCGTAAATGAACTTAAAGCAGGTAATTGACATAAACTACACCTCGTCCTCTCCTACCTGTCCTATTTGCTAGAGAGCACTTTGTACACTTTTTCAGATATGATGTACATTCAGCCTATGCAGTATTGTTTCATGATATGTTAGACAGCAGTTGGAGAAGCACTTCAAGACACTGTCAGACTGAGACTAGGAACTGTGTTAGACTGCGAGCCTGCAGCCGTGGCTGGCCAGGCTGTTAACAGACAGCCAGGGAGCCTGCCAAGTGTCACTGCTTCTCTTCTCATACCCACAATCAGGGAAATACTTAAAGATAGGCCCATGAACTTGAGTAACAGCTTCCCTGCTGCTCCTCATGTTTCTTTCAAAAAACAATTATTACAAGGTATACAATAGCTCTTTGTTAGCATTAAGCTACAAGGCTGCTTCTACACCCTGGAATTGGCAGATATATTGATGACAGGAACTTCTGACTTGGAGGTTCCTTTGGTGTTGACTTCTTTTCAAACCATTCTTTAAAAAAAAAAAAAAAAAAAAAATCAAGTTTGACAGACACGAAAACATACATAGGAAAGGCAGCCTCCTTACTCTATGAAAGAAAAAAATGCCTTACCAAGTTGTTTGAAGTTCTCCTGTATTCCTCCCCAGGTATTCTTCTCAATTACAGACTTGACAAGGCCCCAAGGCTGTTTTTTGTACTTCACTTCTGCAGAAACCCTAATAAGTAGAATGCAACAGCGAATTAGTGCTCTTTTAGGTAGCACAGTGATAGCAGAAATCTTATCAGAAGCAGGCCTCTAGCTTATGTTCAGTATCTGAAATACCAACCAGAATTGACTTCCTTGGCTTTACACCTAGGCAGCACTTACACTGAAGCAAGGAAAGAGACAGTAGCAAAGACAACATACATAGCTAAAGCTTCAAGAGATTTTAATGTCCAAATTATGGGAAACATTTTGAAGTGTTTTCCTTAGACTCAGACCAACAGAGAATTTCTCTCCTCTGAAGCATTCTCATTTTAACATAGGCTTCAGGCTTTCACATTATAAAGGCCTGCATTTTACTCTGTATGTGTACACATGATATATTTCATGGGCACTGCAATTGCAGCAGGTGAAATTCATCACCACTACTCATGCAACAAATGCTCAGATCCTACCCTGAGCAGACAGAAATTAAAGTCTGTCTTCTGTACACGTGACAGAGGTGAAGCAACATCCCTGCCTTGCATTCCCCAAGTCAAGCTAATCAATAATGCTTCCAGAATAGAAATGAATTCAAGTAGAATACTTCAGAGGGCTGCTTCTAACAACTGAATGAATCCCAAAGCTCTTTTTATAAAAGGACCAAAGGATAGCCTGTGATTTTGATTTGTTTAAGTCAAAAACATTAACTGTCCTAGCATACACTTTTTTCAACATCTTCAAATAGTCATCCAATTCAACACAAGCCACTGTGTTTCTAGTTTAACAAAAAAGCATCTTTCAAATAGTGTTTTTGAGCCATTTAAGTGCAATATAATAAAGCCAGCTGTAACGCCACCATGCACCTTCTGTTCTATATGTGCATACTCTGTGCAACCCATTGAACCCTAGGTTTTTGCTCTTATCCTAGCGTTGCCATGTGTCTCAGATAAAACAAATACAGCCCTCAAAGAGGAAGAATGACTCACTCAAAAAAAAACCAAATCCAGAACAGTTGTTCAAGGACCTTTCTTCTCTTCTCCTCCCAGTAGAGAGGGAATCTTTAGCACTTTTATAGCCTGAGATAAGCCAGAATGAAATCCAGGCTTGCTCACCTTTCCTAGTTATTCATGAAGTTTGAGATAAAAGGTCTTACTAAAGACAGCACAAAAACTACCAAGAAAGTCACACAAATGCAGTGAATATGGAAACCGATCACTTCAGGCATTTCCAACAAATGGCAGAGGAAAGAGAAGTGCCTTTTAAGATTCCCCTATCTAGGTAAAGTGTAGAGTTCAACAACAAAGCCCAATTCACTTGAGTACCCTCCCTATAAAGGTAGGTATGTTCCATCTTCCTTGCACCTTTCTGTGAAACCACCCTCTTCTGCAGGCCTTCAGCAAGGATATCTGGGAGATTTTGTAACAGCTCAGGTAGCTCCAATTTATCCCCACTCAGAAAGCTGCACTCAAAAACACAGTGCTGGTCAGAACCCAGTTCAGTCCTGGGAGTTCTGTACCTCACAGTGTTGACATAAGAGTTAGATCTCATTAATTCAGTGAGAAATGAAGTACAGCATACATGTGACAGATTAGCCAAGCTTATTTTTCATAAGAGATGTCCAGCTTCAAGAGAAATTGACCTTTTCTACACTGCTGGCAGATTTTTTGATAAGCATACTTCTTCATCAACCCGTAACATACGTGCCTTGGCTTCTCCCCTCTCACTGTGCACCACTCAGGCTCACCGTAATCGACACTTGTGACTGGATGTGCGGCTGATGCAGTATCTATTCACAGTGTAGAAATAATCGTGGTAGGGGACATCATGGGTCAGTACTTCAGCATCCACCTGATAAGACTGACCTTTCTGGCTCTGTTTATGCAGGATCTACCATAAAAGAAAATACAAATAAGAAGGTATATTCATGGTGCCTGATTTTTAATTATTTTTTTTTTTCTTCTTTTTTTTGTCTGAATTCCCTAGGCTAGATCACAGAATGGTTGAGGTTGGAAGGGACCTCTGAAAGTCAGCTAGTCCAACCCCCCTGCTCAAGCACACGAGCGCTCCTAAAGCACATGAACCAGGATTTTGTCCAGACGATTTTTTAATATCTCCAGGGAGGGAGATTCCACCTCTCTGGGCAACCTGTTTCAGCGCTCTGTCACCCCCACAGGAAAAAAGTGTTTCCTGTTTCAGTGTCCATCACCTCTGGTCCTGTCACTGGGCACCACTGAAAGGTGTGGCCTTTAGTGGTAAAGATGGAGAACGCCTGGCTCAGTCTTTGCACCCTCCCTTCAGATACTTATACACGCTGCAAGATTCCCTGCTGAGCCTTCTCTTCTCCAGGCTGAACAGTCCCAGCTCTCAGCTGTTTATTGTATCACAGAATCACAGGAATGATTTACATTGGGAAAGACTTTAAGATCATAAAGTACAACCATAGAGATGCTCCAGTCCCATGTTAGTGGCCCTTTGCTGGACTTTCTCCATCTCTCTCTCATACTGGGGAGCCCAGAAGTGGTCACTGAAAGCATTTCATTGCATCTTTTAACCCTCTCACTCAAACTAATAAAAGATGTTAATACTTTTCCCCACAGACTTCGTGGGAGAAGATTACAGCCATCTGTAAAGGTAGAAAGCCTCTCTGATTTCATCAGTATTTGCTCACTGATGGCAAGAGGGACAACAGTCTACCCTTAGAGATGCTGCATTTAAACTGCAGATCCACACTGAGTTCACTGAACTCTAACCCGCGGTCAGATCTCTGACAGACCATAGAGCTGACCTCTGCCTTGCTTCAGGGGGCACCAGGCACACACACACACACAGTACCTGCTTTTCAGTTGCAGTCGTGAACTTCCCACAAAGTGGATTGTTAATTGTTACAGTGTACGTCAAAGTCCTCAACTGATTGCCATTGGAATCTCGATTCCAAGGGGTTGATACAGCATCTAGATGAGAAATTATATAAAATCTCACATGCAGATTACCTAAAAGGCGTTATCTCTGCCCTTTATATCTTAACAGTTTAAGAACATTAGTGGGGAGAGAAACAGAAAACAGATTCCAAATGGTTGTGTGTTTTGCAGGAAAAGGGAAATTGTAGTTCATTGATGAACAAAGGTGAGGCTGAACCTGAGTCTACTGAAAGAGTTGAGGGTGGGCAGAAGAGTAAGCAATTAAATGAAAATATGCCATTTCCCATCTGCTTAGAGTTGAATAGATTCACTTAGCATTATCAAAAGCTTTTGCCATTTTGCCTTCCAAGCTGACACTGAATAAATATTACCCTTTTTGACTTAATTTTCTGTTCTTATGATCTCGGTGAATAAAATTTACTCATCCAGAAAATTAAAGCCTGTGAGTATCATTTAGGAGGATGCAATGATTTTGCCTGTGTGCCAGCTGTACACATTTCACTATTTCTGGGACACAATATAATCAGAAATACCCTACAGAATGCATCAACTTAATAGCCTACCCAAAATTCAGGCATTAAGGTGTAGTTCTGTGGTGCACTGAAATGAGGTTTTTGCTCTGAGATGTGACTGATCTATAGAAACAACAGGCTAGCTTTAAATATCCTCTCTTATGGTGGAACTTTAAAAGCTTCAAAATTCTTTTTAAAGCAAGGAGAAACTTAAAATTCTACCAAATCATTGTCCTATTTAACATTTTTCAGAGGCTGAAATTTTCAGGATAGTTGGCAACATGGACAGAAAGGAGAAGAGTATATTACCTACTATACTCCTGGAATTGAGAAACCTCTGCATGAAGTGAGAGTTGGTGAAAAGGATTTCAAACATCTTGTCTGCAGTGATGTGGAAAACTCTGTTTATAAAAAGTCTTCCATAGAGATCATTCTCAGAGACAGTCTCCTTCACTGCTAAGGAAAGGCAGAGAGATCACGTTAAGAGCAGTATTGTGAAGAAACAGTATTTTAAGCTTTATTACAGCTCAAACCCATCACAAGTTGCATCAGCCTTTGTTTCTCACTCCCAGAAACCCAGTGTTGGTAGCAGTATGTGATTTGGTAGATAGTTCATCTTCAGGAGCAAAGTTCAGAGTTGCTTTTTTAGCCCCTTGCCTCCTCCTCCATTTTCCCTGTGCAAACATAAATTGATAAATCAACATCACAAGGTTCCATCCTTTTAGTTTTGCCTTCAGTATTCTACTAAGCCTACCAAAAACACTGGAGAAGACAGAGTTAGCATAATCTTCATTAACATGTATGTCTACTGTACAAAAGACACGTGCATAACAAGCAGGACAGTGAAAGTACACTAACTTTCTTCTTACTTGTGGCTAGTTTCAAAATTCTGCTTTTAACATCTGTAATAGTAGTAGTAGTAGTAGCATCCACAGTCTGACAGACTAGGTACAGACTCCCAAACAGTTCCTCAAACTCTTCCTCCCCCATATCTATTTGTAAGAGGAATGCAAGAGGTACCCTGCTCTATTTTGCAGCCCTGAAAAGTGCACCAAGATGCTTAATCGCTGTCCCCTATTTCAAAACCACCAACAAGCACCTCAGTGGTGTTCTGTGGCTGCAGCACTGGTCTTTGCTATTTCTACTTCTTGTTGGTTGCTGGCATGACTCAGCTTTGTGGTTGTCTCAGCCGCTCTTGCGAGAGATAAGGGACAGAACTATAATCCCGGAGGGCAAGCAGTTTCAATTCAATCTGCTTATGTTTTAGAAACAAGTCCATCCTAATCTATAATTACCAAAAATCAAACAAAAAACCCCACCCCCACACATCACTAAAACGAAACAAAAAGCCTGAAAGCAAATCTCACGGAAGCAAGACAGAGACAAGATGCCTAACCTTTTAACTGATCCAAATGAATGCTCAGAGCTAGCAAAGGTCACTGCCAGCCACCAATGCAAAGGTAGCTTGAATATCAAGCTATAGTTCACATGCTGCCTATAGGCTAAGGTTACAGCACTTAAAACATTACTGCTTGGTAGCAGTCAGTACTAATAAATGCAAATGCAGCAACTAAACACCACAACAGTCCACAAGGAAATCCAATTCTGAGCAGTCTTCTGCTCGAGTGCTGCTTATGTAGCCTGTTAAAAGTCCCTGTTATAAATCTGTCTCCAAAAAAGTTCTCTTTGACCTAATTAGGCTTCAGTGTAGGCCCCCAAAAGTGAAGCATGAGCGCTGTATTTTTGTGCTTGCACAAGAGATGGACTTCCTGCCCATGCCACGTTCTGTTCATGCAATTGTAAGTCTATAACAAAGTTGTGAGGTGGGACAGAAAGCCAGCACACATTTTAAAAGACCTATTTAACCAGCCAACATGCAGTAACTACTTGCTAGAATACAGATTCCGCTGTGCTGAAACATTCTGTTGGAAGTCAGAAATTCAGCCTGGTTTTTCAGCTTATGGTCATTGTTTTTCCTCTGAGGGCTGAACCTAATTCCATCAAAATGCAGTCTGAGCAAAGTGTAAGTTTGACCTCAGCTAACAAGGCCTCTACACCACAGATCTTTCCTTTCAGAGTGCACTCCCCACTTCTCCTTCACTCAGACAGAAAGCTTCAGATATTGATGCTGGCATCCCCTTTGCCTACTGTGCGTCAGCCAACCCGGAGTCAGACAGCAAATAATTCAAACCTAGTTATTCTGGTTGAGTCTTACTTAGCTAGATGCTGGTATGTCCAAGGAATCTGCTACTACTAAAATAAAAAATGCAAAGGCCCAGACACATAATCAAGTCACCACGCACCAGATAAGCTTTGATTGTTACTGGTATACATCTTAGCAAACACAAGATAATACAAGTTACCTTTGCCCCAGTGAGGCTTAGCTAAACAACACAGCTTTATGTTCACCTGAAACACCAGAGGACAGCTGCTATGTTTCTGCTGATGTGAGGTAATTTGGTAAGCCACAGCAACTTATGATATGCACAAAGCCCGAGCATTATTATCTTCATGTGCAGACCTTGCTACTAAGACAGTTTACTCTTCAAGCCTGAAGTCTGTCCTCCTTGTACTGAGTCTTAAGCAAGAGCATCTATGGGTCTACACAAAATTTCCTGTTAGTTGATTTGCCCACACTTTTTCTATCTAGCCATGTCTCTAATAAGGAATAGTCAATGAAGTGCCAAGTGCATGAGAGTATCTATTGAGAAATATGTTTTTACTTACAATCCCTCTCAGCTCTTTGAACAAACAAACAGAATTTTATAAATGCTGTTATCACATCAAGCAGTTATTTTCAGAAAGTCCAAGCTGACACTGGGTTGACACATGAGGCCCATCAGCCACTTTAGAGACTAGGATTCAAACATATTTTCCAGAAAGCCTGGAAATCTTTCAGACAGTGGACCTGGAAGGTGCACATACGAACACTGCTGCAAGTTCCACATCTGTGGAAACAAGTCACTGCATGCACCAAGAGCCTGACAAGCTTCAAGTCACTTCCATCTGGGCTTCTCAGAGTTTATCTGTAGAAATCCTAGATGAAGCAGTGAGCAGGAACAGTAGCGTAGCAAAGAATAAGTGTACAGTATACACGCTTGCAATTTGAACAGAACAGAAAGCTTTGACACTCATCTCTGCTACAATGAACATGCATGCTTTTCTACAGTTTTCTTTTGTTTGTTTTAACTCACACAGGTAAACCTACCTGCCTTTTATTTATCTCAATACCAGAGCAACATCAAGCATTTTACCTAGGACTGGCTCAGAATACTGTTTATGAACAAAATGTTTTGTGCAGTTATATAGATATCAATCTAACTTCTTAACTTTTAATGCTGTTCTAACCCTTGAGCAGTATGCAATTATCAACCACTAACTCTCTTAGCCTGAATACCTCTATAGATAAGAGAACGTGAGATTATTCAGACTTTAGGTTAAGATCCCTAGGGACCCAAAAATCCAGAAGCAAATGTATTACCCAGAGTGTCCTGGTTCAGCATGAAGACAGCAAGTCTGTTCCCTCCCCCACTACTGCCTTGCACTTCATAAGGTCACTTTCATCACTGCAAGGCAAGCTGTGAAATAATGTTTGAATATAATACCATTATGCAGCAGTGATTGCAGAGGATTGAAAATGTCTGCAGTGCAAAAAAAAAAAAAAAAAGACACAGAAAACTGGAAAGGGGGAAGGGGACAGGAAAAAATAGTTTTTAAAATTCCCATTAAAATCTAACAGCTCGAAGCTAAACACACACCACAAGCAAATTAAGAAAGCTGAACTGATAAGAGCAGAGGCTATCAAACAAATTAATAAGACAGCTGATTTTTCCACTCCATAGAGTTAGGGTAGGATCAGAAGAAAAAAAAAACATATATAGGCAAATCTTGTTGAGGATTTCTATGCCAGTGTGGATGCAGAAAAACTGCACACTGCATCAAAAATATACAGGTAGGAACCTTTAACCAGATACACCTGAAATCCAATCAATAAAACCAATTCCTACCGTGATCATGTTCCAGACACCATCTATTTAAAGACTGCATCAGCAATATTAACCATTAGCAAAGAGCTCTACTATATTTTAAAAGACTAAGTACAAAACCAACTTGGGGAGATACTGAGGAAGTACTGTGACAATGCTAGCTTTTTCCAGTTCACAAAATAAATTAAAAAAAATTTATACCTTTTGTCTTTAGATAACTCAAACATATATGCTACAAATCCCAAAGCAACAAATAATTGGTAGTTATATATCCAACAAAATACGTGCTTTCGGTATTTTGATTAAAATGCCAACAAGATAATAAGGCTACTCTTACTTACATACATTGTATATCCAAAATTCCATGTCTTGTGGTGGGGATCACAACAACCAAAAAAACCACACCACCACCAACAGCAAAAAACCCCACACAAACAGAGCTAAACTAATTTCAACCACCTTGCATTTCAAACATTTTCTACCCCACATATCCCTATCTACCACCTGTGATAGTTTAATACAAACAGAAACAATGCAGTAAGTCTGTCGAGTTATGCAAGAAGATCAGGAATTTTAACATCTCCATATACAGTAAAGCTTTCTAACAGAAAAGACTTTTCCAGTTTCCTGTTTCACTCTTTATTTGAAGTATGTTGTGCTACAAACATTGTCATTGCACATAGAAACCCTACATACAAAAGTCTTTTGAGGAAATTTAGAATCTCCTGGCTCTATTTTGGAAATATATTTTCTGTGCTTGAACTAAAATTTGTTTTCTGAAATTTAGAATCAAGACCACAGATATTAACTTCTAGCTTTGCCAAAGATTTGTCAAGGCTCAAGATTTAGACTCCAATTTATGAAATGGAACAAAAGCACTAAGATGCAGGTCAATAGGCCAGTGGTGAACAGTGAGACACACACTCTCCCCATCCCCCTGTGAGCAATGTGAGAATTGCTTAGGGCAAGGGAACTAATGTTGCTAAGGCCCCTGCATTCCAGCTTTGGGTGGACCTGGAGCTGGAGAACAACAGTCCTGAGCTTGCCCCTCACCTTATTTGCCAGGACACCTCCATGGGCAGCCTGAGGACACAAGACAGATTAATCGCATGGGTAAGCCTTTGCCATGTGGGAAAGCTAGTTTTGTTTGCATGAAGGAATTCACCTTGTAAGGGTATGTATGGGGCAACTGCAATAGAAGACAGAAACAGAAGAAAAAAAAATTCTAAGCATGAAGAAGGGAATCTGAGAGAAAAGATTAATGTTGTGGGACTAGAAAATCCTGTTCTGAATAAAAAAAGACTAGTTTTGGGGGAAATAAGAAAAGCAGCATGAAGTCAGTTCTCTTTTAAAGAGACATCTTGAGTGTAATATGTTCTATTTACTCAACATCACCAATGCAGGGACGACAGAGAATTTTTACTGATATCATTTAGGCAAGCAGCAGCATGAAAGACAACGGGACTCTCTTCAATCACTTTCACTAGAGACCTTTGCCATAAAAAAAAAAAAAATCCAGAGACAGAAAAGAGACATAAAAGATGTCGTACGCCAAGAGGACAGGAAAACTGCAAGATACCTAAAATATCCAAAGGCCAAAGTTTTCTGCTGGTCTAAAACATACACCTGTGATGGAGTAAATTAATTTGTGAAGCTTGCTAAGTGTGTAGGAGTATGGCATAAACAACAGCCTGTTCAAGCAGGTATATTCACAAAAATTACACAACCTAGCATGCATTAAGTTGAATCTGAACTCAAGCAAACACAAAAGCAGTGTGGGTGAGCAAAAGAAAAAGTAGTTGAATATAAAATATATCCTCAGGCAACAACCACAGCTTGCAGCCAACCAATTCAATCCATGGCTTTGAAGCTTTCCTGGACATCTTGGTCATCCCAACATAATGACACCTGCAAGCAACTTCAGAGTTCAAACTCTGTTTGAAAGGATGGCATGCAGAGTTTCTCAGCCAGAGTAAGAACTGGCCTCAACTAACTGTTCTATTCCTGCCAAGAGGTGATCAAAGTTATCTCTCTCCATATGAAAGAAATATTCAGCTGCTACTGAGCGTACTGCTACTGTTGAGCTTTTCTGTCCTTCATCTGCACATTACCATGCAACTTTGGAACCAACCCAGGTTATGCACACCTTGATTTAAGGGCTTTTACACAGTCCAAGATTGGGATATTTAACAACATCCACCACAACTTCAGTGAGCTGTTTGAACAGTTACAGCCCTTTGGCAAGGGAAAAAGCTCCCCACAGTAAATGAAAAGCTCACCTTAGAGAGTGAGAACTTGTCAGGGGCTAATGTGGGACCACAAAACAAACACCCACAGACCTCAGCACAAGTCCCACTGTTGTCCAGCCTGGGTAGAAGGCACACTCTGGCCTTACTCTCTTCCCCAGGACACGGCAAAAACACTCATAGCAAAACCACTATGAGACATACAGCTACGCTTTTCTCTCCTACAGCGAGAAGAGGAAAGGAAGCACATAACAGCCAAGTTACAATCTCTAGACTACTGTGGTATCCAAGTTTCTTCTCATCTTGTACTGGGTAATGAGGTATTAGTTATGAGGACGGTATATTAGGATTTATTAAGATACTAACTCTGTCAGCACACAAAGTATAAGCTGCTCCTAGACACATGTTAAGGTTTTTCATCTTCAGACCAGATTCAGAAAATGCTTCCCTGAAAGCTGGGAAGTTGTCTTGCCTGGACTTTCAGCGAGTTCCTCAGTTTACTCCATCAGTAACACTGAAGCCCATATGCCTTAAGAAAGTAGCATTGTAAAGAAGAGGAGGTGGGGAGGGTGTAGAAATCTTTCAGAAACTAAAGAACATTCTGAAACGTTTCCCTTCAGTTCCCAAGAAGTGAAAAGAAAGGAAAGAAAAATATTTGAAATACTGTGAGAGCAGGAAAGTGAACAAACCACCACATTGTCAAGAAACCCTTTTTTTTTTTTAGTTTAAGTTGTTAACAACAACTCTTTACCCATCAAAAGAGAAAAAGCAAAACCACAATTTGTTTTTGTTCTACACACCCACAAAAACTTTTTTTCCCTCCCCAGAAACTAAGTAAGACACAAAGATGTTTTTGCTGCTATTCTGTGAAACAAATGAGCAAACAAGTTTCATAAGATTAGAAAGTTCTCCAACTTGCTCCACAAGTGAGATGGAACACCACAGTCAGGTTGTCTTACAGATCCCAGTTGTTAAAGTTGTTGTTACCTTCTTCACTATCTGAGGCACTGCTCTTCTCTGGAAGGTTTTCATTCTCATTCAAGTCCAAGGACTTTTCTAAAGACCTGCTCCTGCCTAGCTTAACAGGTTTTCTTTCTGAAGATGGAAGAGGGCTCTTCTTTATTTGCTTCTCACTTGGGGACTCCTCCACCTGAAACACACAAGAGGAAAAAAAAGATGCATCAGTAATCACAGATCATTTAAAAAAAAAAAAAAAGAGAGAGAGAGAGAAAGTTACTTTCAAAGAAGAAAGAAAAAAGCCATATAAAGGAAGCCACAAGTTCTATCTGCTCAATTACCAGTCAACCATTAATTTCTCCCTTGTTCCTCCACCTCCACTCCTCTTTATTTCAAACTTTCACTTTACCACCTGTGTGGTTTGGTCCCCTTTGCCTGGATCAATGGTAGCATTTATAAGTGCTATTAACCTAACTAATACAGATTATTTACTTTTTATTGATCAGGTTAATTTTTTCCTGCCAGTTGAGCAAGGGGTTCAACAATTCTGAGGGGAAGCACCATGAAATAGACAGGGCTTCCCTTTTTCAGCAAGACTGAATCATCTCAATTACATATTTAAAAGCTGTTCTTCTGTAGGGATCAATTTTGGAAAAAAAGTTTTAAAACACTATCTAGAGCCATCCTATTTATAAAATGTTACTTCCCAGGAACAAAACAATAGAATATCGTTTGCCATCTCCAACACATAAGCAGGACATCCCCCAAAACATCAGTCACTGAATCAATGGTGCAGCTCTTAATCCTAAACTATAATAACTGGTGGCTAAGCTTATGTGCCATTGTACACTTCAAGTAGTTTCTAATGAAGCTGTATACCTAAGGTTTGTACATCTCAAAGTGCCACCCAAAAAGCTTGGCTACTAGCTATGAATCAGTTTTCATTCTAAACGTCTCCTCAAAGCTCCCATTGCTTATTTTAGCCCTCTCATATGCAGTAGTATTTTAGCCCTCTCATATGCAGTAGGACATGGAACATAATAAATAAGATCAGGCCTATTCAACTGAGTAGTTCCAATTCACCTGCAATACCATTATCCCTAAAGATTATTCAGTCATGACTCAAAAAAGCAAGAGCATCCGCTATTGAATAGTCATCATGCACTTCCTCTACTTCTTGGCTTTTTTCAAAATAAAGACCATCTAACTTTTTTGTGCAACTGAGGGCCATTAGAAGAAGGTGGTGGCTGGAAAACAGAGACGGGCATGAATTTGCCTGCAGCACAAGCAGGCAAAAATAGTCCTTCAAGGTCAAAAAAATAGGAAGACTGCATCAGAAAAGCAGATCAATTAACAAATGCTCCTACTGAAAAGAGCTTCCATGCCTGAAGTTATACTCAGTCACACAACAGAACTAGGACAGAACCAACATTTCCACGTCAAAAATATTCTACCAACAGAGATGGAAGACAGAAAGGAGCTAGTTGTGGTTAAACAGTCTAAAAATTGACACAGATGCAGCACAAATCCAAGGAACTCTCACAGCATTTTGATAAAGATTAGGGATCTAGCAGGTAGAGTTCCCATCAGCAGCACAAGAGCAGCCCCACTATGCCAGGCACAGAGCAGGAAATTCAGGCTCAAGTCAGAAGACTAGAGCAACAGCTCCTGCATAAATGCTTTTTGTGATGTCAGGGAAGAGGAAATTCATGCTGAGGCTTTTGGAATAACTAATCAACTCAAATCAACACAGTTTTCTTGGTGTTTTTGTTTTGTTTGTTTGTTTTTTTAAAGTATTTTTCTTTCCCAGAGAGTAGAATTAAAGATGTATAGCTTCTTCCTTATGTACATTTATCTCCTGAGCTAGCCCAGTACTACTAAGTTCTGTGCCAGGGCTTTTCAGTTTTTTAACCTGTGAACAGCAGGTTCAGGAGCTTGGAACACTTCCCTACAAGGGGCAGAGGGAAGAAGGTGGTTGATTCAGACAGGCAGTAAGGTGGTTCCCACATTGTGGACACACATGCCATGACTGGTGTTATACACAGACTTTCTTTAATGAGCCACAGACAGATAACAACAATATTTTTTCCAAGACAGGCCAAGTACCACAGCCAACATCTCCATCATTTCAGATCTCCCTCTGAAGAGAGCTTTGAGATTTACTCTGCCTACCAGAGCAGGAAAGATGGGGTTAAGTCCGTTTCTCTCCAGTCTTTGGAAGGTGATTAAATGTGTTTTATGTCATCAGTTCCATGGTTTTTGATAAATACATTCTAAGCACTACTGCCTCCTCCTATCACCCCTGTGCTTCTACAACATATGCTGTAATCCTGGAGTTGTGGAATGCGTCTCTCGACATTCTTGGGAAGTGCCCAGTGACACCTACAGCTGAACACCATCATTATGTATTTTAGTTACACTGAAACAGTAAGCTGAACAGTTCAGTTACACATTTATCAAGACTGCACTTTTATACTATAATTAAAGGACTCTTTAAAAGCAGTTTCTTCAAGGGAGAATCCTAGCGTGTTTCCTTGTGTACAGACCAAATCCCCAGGCGCTACTGCTTACCACCATGCTCAATTAGATTTAGCACCTGCAGGAGACATCTCTGGGTGTGGCACCCAACAGGTAAACAAAACATTTATTTTCCAGGTACAATTATTTTTAAATGGCTTGCTCTTGTGCAAATAAGACTTACAAGTCCAAACCAAGTTTACCTGGGTAGATTTTTAGTTATCAAAAGAGCCCAGATTCCAGTGGCATCCACAGGACTCCCTTGCAGCTCTCCAAAAAAATCCTGCTTTATACTGGTAGGATTTCCATAAGGTATACCCATCATCCAATTAACTAAGCTTTTAACATCTGACAAACAAATACCAGTATTGTTTGCTGGGTATGAGCCCCCAGCCATCAACTTGGATTTTGGCAAAACGATTTAAAGCCTGCTTAACCTCCAGACCAGTTTTAGCAAGTGACAAAAGGCAGAAGATTTATATGGCAGTAAAAAACTATTACAAGCATCTCCTTTCTTCCCTCCTCAAATTTTCCAAAGCAGAAACACCAATTAGGTACCAAATCCTAGTGAAATTTATAAGAAATGCTTTAGTGCTTTATTAGCTTTTCCAAGATCTTTTCCTTGGGGTATCTGTTAACCAAGAGAAAATGTCTGTAACCTTTTAGGACTACAACTACAAAAAGGAGTCCCAGCAACTGTGCAAGACACTGTGCACACCTCAGATACTGCTACTAATGCATTCGCCCTCCCAACCAACCAAATACGTTCACTAATTCATACAACATCATGAGTTAAGCACCCATGCTTGTTCAGTTGTATTAACCCAAGGCATTAAGGGAAAATTCATCTTTATTATATCAAGGGGGGTTTTTTTGTCCTTTCCTTCCAAAACATTTCCACAAACTTAAATAAAAAAAAGGTTTCACGTATTCACAACAGCAGACCAACTGACCTTTGAAGGCAAGGATAACACAGCATAACTACCCTGCAATAAACCTGATGCACAGGAGAGACAGAAGTATAATAGGAGATATTTTTTAAATGAAAAATTACACAAGCAAGAAAGCATTGGAAGCAAAACAAAGGCATCACTTTCATGAAGCACTTGCACTAAAATGCACATGGTCCCTAGAAAGGTGTATAAAACAGTTAATTTTGTTTTCAAAAAAAGAAAAAAGACCAGGCCATAAGCCTCAGCACTGTAGCCAGGCTATGCAGTGAATTAGCAACAGGACATTGATGAAACTCACACCAACATTATTCTCTTATACAGAAGTTTGTTCATTTCCAAATTCAGGAAATATTCTTAAAGCCTGAAGATACTCTTATTAAATTTCTTATGGGAAAACCTCCTAGACTATTCTGAATTCTCACAGGCTTCTTTAGAAGTTACAACCCCCATGCATCCTATGCTTACAGATATACAAGTTAAGTGTACACGGTTATCAGTTACAAATAGCAAGAAAGGCTGTGTCAGCACTTACTCCTGGCAATGCGTGTCTACCGAGTGACTCTCCTTCTGTTTGAAGCGTGGGTTCCCGAACTAAACCAATCATTTTAGGTAGTTTTTCATCTCTTTCACCAGAATCATCACAAATGCTGGATCTGTCCAAAGCAAAACAGGAAGATATCTTTGGAGATAAAAGTGCTGAAGAATCTGAGAAAGCTTCCCATGTGTGATTTTTGCATTCAAACCATGGCTGTTCAGCTAATATTAAAAACTACCAACTCATTCTTCCCACATTCAGCTCATTAATCTCTTCAGCCATTTTCTGCACCTTTCAGAAGATTCAGCTTCTGACCACAGGGTTAATAAAACCATGCACTGGTGAATCAGAAAGTGAGTGATGTGGGGAGAGGAAATGGAGGTAGGTTAGAACAAATTTGTAATAAAATGTTTTAAGAAGAATTTTTTCCTGCATCCTTTATTCCAGAGTCACAATGTAGTACTTTTTTTTTTTTTTTAACAAGGGAAAAAAAACCCAAAACAACAAACCAGGAAATGTTTAATGGGACATCTTTTGAAGCTTGCAGTGAACCTAAGATTTTTTTTTTGGTTTTTCTAACAAACATAGTCAGATAACACAGGACTGAAAAGAGACATATATCACATTGTTCAGTTTTGCAGAGCCATACTTATTTACATACAGATATAAAAACTAAAGACCCCTTATTAAATTGACACTGGCAGTTCATGAGTTAGTTCACATTTGTTCCAAGAAATCAAGTCTACACACAGTTAGATTATTCCTTTTTCCGAATTCCAGCTGAGCATGGAATACACAAATAAGCTAAGACCTCGGATATCAGGAGGGCAAAGCAAAACAAGTGTTTCAATCTCCAAAGAGGAGAGGAAAAGTATCTGAACATCATACATAGTTCCATTCCATTCAGCCCTTCCATATTATTGAAGGGCATACAGATCCTGACTTGACATCACCATGAGAAAAGGTTGCTATTTAAGCTATCCTGTTGATATCCCCAAGCAGATCAAGGGAGAACAAAGTCTTCCAAGGGGCCTCAGCTGTGCTCCTACTATTTTAGACAATGAACACAACGAAGTTCTTATGCATGTTTGGTTTAGTTCTTTGCATCTTTTTACTTAAAAGGCTTAACCCTTCTGGTAAGGCTACAGCAACGCTTTGGAAAAAGAATTTCTAAGAACACTAAGACACTGCTTCTCCCCGAGTATTTCAATAAGCTTTAGAGCTTCTCCTTACCGAGACTGTCCGTTGTCCTCAGATGATGAGTGGAAGCTCTCCATCTCCTCACTGTTCAGGCCCAGCTCAGAGCCATAGCTCTGGTGCACCAGCTGCCAGAATTCCTGCTTGGTCAGCCTCTGAAAGAAAGCAAGCTCGTCAGGAACTACAGTATGGGACAGTAAGGCATAGGAGGTAAAACAGTGAGAAGTTTGAATTACGCCACAGCCTTTAACCTCAATTCTGACAAGGACTGAAAGCATTTAGGTATCACATTTCGAGATTGGATTTCGGCATTTTGGGGAACTGTACTCCTGTCTACTCCATGTTCCAAATCCATCACTGTTCAACCAATAACACCAGAAATGAGAAAAAAAAATGTTTCAACAAAACACACACTGGCAGCCACTACTTGCTTCTTCATGTGCCACCAAGGTTTCCACAGATATCTTCCAGGTAGCTCCCTCTTGAATTTCACTTGATACAGAACAAGACCAGTAACTAGTAGAGACCCAGGGACTCCTTCTTTATGTTGGACAACTGCTTAATAGATACATGCCCGTTTCCTTAGGATGCTCAGAGCACTTTACAAATGGTGAGAGGCTTGCATTTCAGTCACTACAGCGGTGTCTAGGTCAGCCAACTGTCTACTTTGCCAAGGCAGGACAGGACGTCCTCACTTTGGAACACCAGAACCCCCTTTACCGAAAATCATTGCTTTTGCTCAGTAACAGTGCTACCTTGATTCATCACTAGCTACTCTCCTCTATAATCTCTTTGCCCTGCTCCATGAATTCTCACAGCTACTAGGGAATATTTAAGTTCTCTCAGATCATCAGGAAAGTCAGGAAGTGAAAGTAGTACGACAAACTCATATCAGCAATGTAAGCAACCAGTTTCAAAGTCCACTTCAGCTGTAAAGGGAAAAAAAAAAAAAAGGAAATAAATAGGAAAGAAAAGGTTTAGCAGAGTTCAGAGAGCAATACTAGTGATCTTAAAAAGAAACCCCACACTGGAAAATGTGCCTCAGCCACAATCCATATTGATCAAAGGAACAGACCCGTGCTAATGAGGCAGTAACACAAGTACTGCTTACGATTTGCATGAAATGATCACATTAAATACCCATGCATTATTTAATGGGCTTTTAAACGATCCTCTCCACTCCTTCCTGCCCCCGTGGAGTGTCACACTACCCGCAATTCCAGGCGCCCATAAAGGAGCTGACCCACGGGCAGGGATGTCACTGTGCGCCCACAGCCACCCCTGGCCGCTGTCCCCCGGGGCTGCTGCCGCCGCCC